AGCTGCTCCTTGGAAACACTATACAGGGTTGCTATGAGTTGAAACCAACTCAAGGGCACCAAACAACAATATATATCTTTATAAAAGAGCAACTTTTTTTTTTTCCTTTAAGAGGTGTCAGAAGCATTTTTGTATGACGTAGCACTGTGCGTTAATGCACTGGACTGCAAAGTCGGTTTGAACTACAAGGTTGGCGGTTCAAGCTCACCAGCTGCCAGTTACAGTTTTAAGCGCTTTACATGTATTAACTATTTTGATCCTCACAACAACCCTATGAGGTAGATATATTTAATACCCCAATTTTATAGGAGAACAAACTGAGGCACAAAGAGGTTGAACAAAGCCAGGATTCATTGGAAGATGAGATTAGAAGGACAGATAGTCTTATTTGCCAAAGTATAAATTTTGGATTTAATCCTCAGTAGATTGTAAGCCATGACCTAGTTTGGTTGGACTGGCATCTTTGGTTGCTGGGTAAGCATTGATTGTAACAGATCCTGGTGTGAGCAGGGAGCACAGTAGAGGCCGTTGCTGTGGACCAGGTGGGAGATGATGAGAAAAGTGGTTGTTATACAGATGAAGTGATGAGGATAAAAGTGGGATCTTTTCTGTAGATGAAAACAATAGGCCTTGGTGATCAATTAGATAGAAAACAAATGACTATTTAGGGCTTAAGCAATTTGGCAAATGTAGTTGCCCTCTTCTGTGATCAGGGGAGGAAATGCTTTATTTCAGTGAGAAAAATAATGAGTTTCTTGTTGGTCCTGAGTGGCTTGAGATGTAAAGTGAGCCACCACATAGCCAATTGTTTATAAACAAGCTGGAGCTCAAGAAAGAGAACAAAGCAGAAGATATAATTTGGGGTTCCAGAAGTCCGCTGATGGAGTTTATAGAAAAGGATTCGAATCATGAGGGAGGGTACGTAAAGAAGAGAGCTTAGAACTAAATGCTCTAGATACTCTTAGGGCACATTCAGATGTTTCATAGATGAAGAGCCTCCTATTCTAACCTCTGGTTTCAGCTGTTGTGGACAGACTGAGGTGGGTCCTTGGGAAAGAGTCCATTACCAAGCCACCAAGATCCAAGTATGATAGTTCAGAGCTTCCTCTGCACCTCATTGCTCTAGTCACTTCCTGCTGTGGACACGGAATTCCTGTTATCTGGTCCATTGTCTCAGATGATTTGTTCATACTGTACTTTTTCTGAGAAGTCTTTCTGATAACTTACCCTCCACGGTGTGATCTCTGCCACCACTCTGTCTCCATAGTTGCACATTTCAGTGTGCTACCACTAACCACATTTAAACTGCTTTAAGTTCTGTGCCTTCTCCCTCATACTGTAAATTCCGAGAGCCAGGGCCATGCATCTTCATGTTCTACACTTGTACATCACATGCTGTTTGTTATTGTTAGGGATCATCAAGTTGATTCTGACTCATAGCGACCCCATGTGATAGAGTAGAACTGTCTCCTAAGATTTTCTTGGCTGTAATCTATATCAAAGTAGGTTGCCAGATCTTTCTGCTGTGGTGCCACTGTTGTTGTTAGGTGCCATTGAATTGACTAAGTGCTGACCTTGCAGTTCAAACCGACCTTGAGGTTGAGTGCTTATCCTACAGCGCCACACCAGGACTTGGGAGGTCCGAGTCACCAACCTTTGGATGAGCAGCTTACTGCTTGACAGCTGCATCATCAAGCCTCATTTGCCCAAGAGGTTCTAAATAAACATCTGCTGGTTAAGGGATTTAACTTCATCTCCAGACCTGGTTTCTAATAAAATCTGGAATGTTCTCCCAAAAAAAGGCTTCAGGGAAAGAAAGAAGAAGAATAAAAAAAAAAAAGACCACCTTATTACCTATGACGCAAAATTAAATCAGGAAGGGATAGTTTTGAGAGAGGAGTTAGTAAATTAACACTAATAATATATGAAGTTAGTCCTGGTGTGGCACTGTAGGATAAGCACTAAATTGCTAACTGCGAAGTTAACAGTTCAAACCCACCAACTGCTCCTTGGAAACCCCCATACAGGGTCACTGAGTCGAAACCAATTTTATGGCATTTAACAAGAACAATGTATCAATGAATGAAAGACAAAAAAAGTACCTTGTATTGAGTAGGTATGATATTTTAAACACTGTTGTAAGTTTATGTGTCATTCATAAACTCATACATAGATTGGTACAGTGACTCTGTGTATTTCTTCCAACTTCTTTTGATGCTTTCTGCATCATTCAATATTTTGCCCATGTTGTTTTTAAGTGCCATCAGGTCGCTTCTGATGCACAACAACCCTGTCTAGGATTTCTGAGGCGTGGCTGGTGGGTTGAACCGCCAATCTTGCAGTTCAAACTGACCTTGCAGTCTAGTGCATTATCCCACAGTGCCACTACATATTCTGCCCACAGAATCCTTCAATATTTCAAGTCGAGGCTTGAATTTTTTCTTCAGTTCCCTCAGCTTGAAGAATGCTGAACGTGTTCTTTCCTTTTGATTTTCTAATTTCAGGTCTTTGCATATTTCATTATAATATTTGACTTTGTGTTCTCGAGCTGCCCTTTGAAATTTTCTATTCTACTCTTTTACCTCCTCATTTCTTCCATTTACTTTAGCATCTCTATGCTTAAAAGCAGGCTTCAGAATTTCTTCTGACATCCATTTTGGTCTTTCCCTTTTTTCTTTTCTTCTTAATGACTGTTTGCTTTCGTATTATTCTTGATGTTATCCCTCAATTCTTCTGGTCTTTGGTTTTAGTGTCTAATGCATCAAATCTGTTCTTCAGATGGTCTCTAAATTCAGGACATTATTGAAATTATATAAATTTCAATATAGTAAGAAAGACTGTGTATAGCCCTTAATGCTGCTCTAGAATATTCAGAATATACTTGGCCTTGGGCCAAGTATAAACTTGGAGCCCTGGTGTAGCACTGTAGGATAAGCACTGGAATCCTAGTGTGGTATGCTGGAAGGATAAGCATTTGACCACAAAGTTGGTAGTTCAAACTCACCAACTACTCCTCAGAAACTCTATACAGGGTCGCTATGAGTTGGAACCAACTCTATAGCACTTAACAGCAACATCTAACTGTGCTAACTGCAACGTGGGAAGTTCAAACCCACCAGCCACTCTCGGAAACCCTGTACAGAGTCACTATGAGTCAGAACTAACTCAACAGCACACAGCAACAACACGGCATAACCTTACTGGATCTCTTACAGTTCCATAACATATATTCCAGCTTTTGAGCAAACTGGACTCATGGTTATTTTCTGAATATGCCTTCTTCCTTTTCTTCTTCCCTTTGTGTAGCATATCTACCTATTCATCTCCCTATGTTGAAATTGGACCATGATTTATTTAATACATATTTTTTTAAGTTTTATTCTATGCATGAAATGAATTATGCTTATAATTTTAGAAAAAAGGATACTCAGATTATTTTATGTCTCCCCTAGTTGGACATGAGCCAACTGTCTTACAATATGTGTTATTTCCCTCAGCAATTTTCTTGCCTGTGTGATGTAAGAGTTACTCTGTGCTTTCCTCTGACTTCCCAATAGATTAAGGCAAGCAGGAAGTATGCCTTAATGGCAAACCTGATAGAGCCAGGTTGAACTGAAAACATGGGCATCCCTTTGGGCATTAATAGATGAGCAGTAACCCAGTTTTCCAGGTTCGTCTAACCAAAGATACTCACTTTTGACTCCTCAGGAATTGTACATGTATTCAAAGACAAGAATTCCCAGGCAGCACCCACCCATACCTCTCCTGTAGAATGGGCTTGTCTTAGAATAAGCCTCATCTAGAGTCAAAGAACACCTAAATGTGGTGTGGCGCTATGGGTTAATGCACTAGACTGCAAAGTCGGTTTCAATTGTAAGGTCAGTGGTTCAAGCTCATCATTCGCTCCTTGTAAACCCTATGCAGGGTCTCTATGGGTCGGAACTGACTCGACAGCACTTAACAACAACAAAGTCAAAGAAAAAGACTCTGTTCTCACCCATTAATTCCCAGTACTGCTGAGTGGTGGTGGTGATGTGCTGTGGAGTTGATTCTGACTCACGGTGACCCTGTATAGGGTTTCCGATGCTGTAAATCTTTATAGGATCAGAAAGCTTTATCTTTCTCTCAAGGAGTGGCTGGTACAATCAAACTGCTGGCCTTGCAGATTGGACTTCATTAAATGGACAATGTTTCAAATTTATTAAACAAATCAAATTAAAAGCTAAGCTTTTGCTTTAAAGAATTTTCAAAATGCAAGCATTTTCCTTGAAATCGCTCCAACAATTAAACTCTTAATTTGGCTGAAAAGCCCTGCCCATCCTGTGTGTGGCAGAAAGATTAGTTCCAATTCTTTTTTTAGCTATTAAGTAGTAGAAAATATGTGCATGTTTATATTAGGAGGTTTGATGCACCTGTATATGGAGAGCACTCTCATTCCAGATGAGATACATGTACCCTATCTTCCCTTTCCTAATGTTTTTTGTTAACCTTCTGAAACACACAATTAAAAACAATAATGGAATGAAAGACTCTGCAGAGAAGAGGTTGAATGGTAATCGTAATAATTCTTAAAAGCCAGATGATTCCTCATCTCTTTTTGTGTGTTTGCTGGCAGTTTCTTACTGCTTTAGGTTTAGGAGGAGTGAGAATCTGAACATGAAGGAACAAGATGAGTGAAAATTCAAAAATTTTTTCAGACAGAGATTATCTTAGCTACCCAAGAGCCGCAGGATGGTGAGAACCAAAGTTGGTTACCAACCTACCATACTATAGTTATCAACACTGGTTTGTTTAGCTCTTAGTATGAGGAATTTTCTCTTCTCATGAGGAAAGTGATAAAGAAAAAGAGACAAGAAGTGACTTAACTTGGTATGCAAGAACTCATAGTAATATTAACACTTTATTTGCTGTCAGATTCAGTTGTTACCCTTTGCTGATAAACTTACATGATAATCATATTCTGGTCTCTTTTAATCATATTTTTCAAATTCTCTTTATAGGAAAAGATAAGATTAAAGTGTCTGAAGATGACCTGAAGAAACTCCTACTGATTAAATGGTGTATTTTGGAAGCCATTCGTCTAAGAGCACCTGGTGTCATTGCTAGAAAGGTGGTGGAACCAGTCAAAATTTTGGTGAGTTTTCATTTAGTTTAAAAATAATCAGGCATCTGGGGGGGGGAGTACATATTTTGCCCCACATGTTATTAGACAGTTCTTCATGTTCCATTAAACACTAAGTGACCCTGGAGAGGTTGCTAATAAGAGTTGTGCAACATGTTAACATTTCATTAATATGAGAGTTAGTCAAACAGTATTGCTACTAGGGTTCCAGCTCATATATGCATGGGTTTATTCCAAACAAAATGTGTTTCCATGATCGGTGGATAGCTATAGATAAATTCTCTCAGTTATATAAGGATAAGTAAAAAAGTCTTGTCTCTGAGATCAGCAGACAAGTTCTCTCAGTAATACGTTTGTCATTTGTCTTAGTCTCCTGAGGCGTCTTAAAAACATGTCAAGTTAAAACAATGGCTTCTGAGTGAACCTGCTGGGCCAGTTACATTCAATGCAGAGACTTCCGTTCAAAAGGTTTCTTTAAATTCCAAGCAGTCATCTTGATAGATTTTCTTGAAGGACACAGGATAATCACAGGGCTTATTATGAAGAAGTTATGAGACAATTGAAAACTGTACTGGTGAGAAAAAAGTTACAGAAAGCTGCATCAGGGAATTGTTTTCCATCATGACAATGTACTTACTCAGTCTTAGATGGTAGCAATGACTAACCTCAGAGAATTTCTTTTGGAAACCATACCTTATCCACCCCAGAGCCCTGATCTTCCCCTTCAGACTTCTTTCTTTTCCCCAAACTCAATGAACATGTAAAAGGGTACACCATTTGAATCCCTTGAAGATGCCAAACTAGCCATTTTGACTTAATGTAAATCAAAGAGCACAGAATTCTTTCGAGCGGGGTTAGAGAGAGGGAAAACCACCTTCAGAAGTGTTTCCTAGAGAGAGGGCATGTCAAAAAACAATAGCTTCACTTTTTGATATTTTTGTTTTATAAAGGTTTCTATGATTTTGTAGCAATGTTTATTTCTTTACATAGCCTCATAGGCTGACCAGTCTTTGGGCTAAAGCCTAACTCTTTGGTAGCCATTTTGACCTTATTATTCTGCGTGAAGGTTAGTATGGTGGTAGTGGTGGTGTGCCATGGAGTCAGTTCTGACTCATAGAGTCCCTGTACAGGGTTTCCAAGACTGCAAATCTTTATGGGAGCAGAAAGCCTCATCTTTCTCACTCAGAACAGCTGGTAGAGTCTAACTGCTACCCATTATAGTAAGCAGCCCAATCCACTATAAAACCAGGATTCCTCAGGATTGGTGGTGTTGTTAAGCACCATCGAGTCTGTTCCAACTCATAGCCCCCCTGTGTATGGTTTCCAAGGAGTGGCTGGTGAGCTTGAACCTTCAATCTTGAGGTTCAAAATGATTTTGCAGTCCAGTGCATTAACCCGCAGCACCACGCCAGGACTCTTATTTAAATCAAGCAGGTGAATTGGATAGTCTGTTCTCTACTGAATAATCAATCAGCAAGTATTCTTGAGCAGCAACAGTCTGAGGAATTCACGGGGCAAAGAAAGTTCTTCACAGAAGCTATCTGGATAACTGGAAGGCAATTTCAGGCCACAGATCACAGAGTGGGGAATACATAGCAGAAATGCCATGGTTCACATCAGTGAATACTAGGGACCAGCAACTTGGTAAGGGACAGAGGGGAAGTCTTAATCTATGGGACATGTTGGGAAAAGTCTTACGGGTACCGTGGAAAGTATATGCACAGGGAAGACTTTCAGGTCAATATTTGGTGATCCAATCAGTCAGAAGAAAAAGCTTTCCCCTGGTGTGTTGCTGTAGGTTGATGCACTAGACTGCAAAGTCGATGAACTGCAAGATTGGCGGTTCAAGGTCACCAGCCTCTCCTACAACAGCAAACCCCCAACACACACCCAAAAAGACTTTTTTTTTAAGTAAAACATCAAGATAGATTGCATTCTCTCTAGCTCACTTTTTTTATATGCAGAGTGAGGATACTTGAACTCAAATCAAGAAGGTTTTGCAGTGGTAGAAGACAAGAGACAAAATCCAGTTTGTCAAAGCCATAACTCGCTAAATCCAGAGGAGACATAGTTTGTTTAGCTAGTCTTACAAAATTAGAAAATATAACTTTAGGAGGTTTTTTAAAAAAAAAAATTTTAAGTAATTAAATTATTCATTTCTTTAAACTCTAAGTGTAAATGGATATGCTTTGAGATGAATTAACCAGCTTGGTGTAATTAAGTAGAACAATAATGTTCTTATTATTCTGAATACTTCTATAATGCTTCCTGAACATATTTTAAGGCTCAGTTACATGCTAACCGTGGAGCCCTGGTGGTGCTGTGGGCTAAGCTGTGAACTTCAAGGTTAGCAGTTCAAACCTATCAGCAGCTCACCTTGGAGAGGATCTGCCGGAGATTTTCCTTTTATAGGGTTGCTATCAAGGATCTCTGGTACTACAGCAGGTTACGTGTTGGACTGCTAACTGCAAGGTCAGAAGTTCAAATCTACCAGCTGCTCTGCAGGAGAAATTTGAAGCTTTCTGCTCCCATCAAGATTTACAGCCTTGGAAATGCTGTACAAGATCATTATGACTCAGAACCGACTCAACAGCATACCCCACCACCAAAGTTTGTATCAGTCAGACTCAACTGGATGGCAGGGGGTTTGGTTTAGTTTTGGGATATGCTGGTTAATAGATAATTAGATAAATTATAGGTTAATTATTGATCTTTTAGTGGATATCTTGACTGTTGTTCTTAGCATACAAATCTTACACATATTTTGTTAGGTTTAAAGCAAAATATTTCATCTATTTTGCAGCTATCATAGATGGTATTTCTTGAAGATTTGGTTTCCAATTATACATTACTTGTTTATAGAAATATAGTTGATTTCAATATATTGACGGTGTATCTGGATCCATGCTGAACTCAGCTATGAATGCTTTATAAAAATGTCTTGAACTAAAAATAATAGATATCCAAAACAATTCAAGACATTATGAAACAAAATGAATACTTTCTTACCTCAACTTCATCACGTCACACTTGCTTCGTAGAGGACATGAAGTTCAGATAGACTCATGCTCCTTTCAAGCTCTCTGTGGCTTTCTTCATGGTAAGGAAGCACTGGTGGCATTAGTAGGTAAGCACTGGACTACTAACCACAAGGACAGAAGTTCAAACTCACCAGTTGCTTCTCCAGAGACAGATGAGGGTTTCTGCTTTGTAAAGACTGACTTGAAACTCGCATAATGACAATGGATTTTGGGGTTTTTTGTTGTTGTTTAGATTTCAGAGTGCCCCAGAACCTGGACTCAGACAGCTGCTGTCTGAGAATATCCTTTTATTATTTTTCACAATATCTGTTTTTAATATTTGTGTAAGGTTCAGTATTTTCTGCATTTACTATTGTCTAAATAAAATGAAAACAACCATTCCTCTAGAGGCCCAAACTAATCATTGTAAAGTCCTACCTTCAAAGCTGAAACCTTAAAAAAATGATACCTTATACACCTTTACCTACTTTTCCATAGGTAAAAGATGTTAATAAGGGAAAAAAGAAGTAGAAATTAGAATCTGCTGAAAATTTCACAGAGATAACTGTAAACATGCTGGCATTATATTTTCAGAATTTTTACGCACATTTAAAAAAAATTCGATTGTGACATTCTAAGCCGATTGTTTCATGGCCTACCTTAAGTTTATTTAATAATAGTCCATGAATAGTTTTCTATATTAATAAAATACATCTGTAGCATTTTGAATTGTAGAAATTCAAATGTATGTTCACTTTTTTATTGCACAGTGCAGAACTAGAGGACCAAATTGTATGAATTTACTATCATTAAAAAAACACTAATCCGTTCCCAATTTGTGAATATGTATGTGGCTTCCAGGTTTTACTATCATAAACATTACCAAAATGAGCATCTGTCTAGCTAAATCCTTATGTACAATTATAATGATCTCTGTAGTATAGAATCATACAACTTTTCCTTTTAAGCTCGCTGTAATTTTTTAAACAGATAGAATATCTATGCTACAGTACAGTTTATATATGTGTTCCCAGGGCAGTGGATTATAGGAAACATGTTGCATAGCATTATGTATGTCAAATAGTGACAGTGGCCCATGGATAGGATCTGATCATTAGAAAGTGGATCAAAATGTCTTGCACTGAATACTAGAAGTGTTTTTCTATTGCATTTCCCTTATGTAGGCTGAACAAAACCAAGACCGAATCAAACACACTTGTCATCATTGAGTCTGACTAATAGTGACCTCAGTCTAAAGTTCATTTGCAAGAATAACCAGAAAAGAATAACAAAGATGTTAAAAAAGGATAATGAAGGAATAGTAATACCATAAAATGACAACAATTAAAACAGTATGACACTGGTATCAGACAGACCTTCAGATCAGCATAATAGACTGAACAGATAGCAAAGAAACAAACCTCTTTGTGCATAAAATTTAATACAGAATGAATGAGTCATTATAAATCAATGAAGAGGGAAGAGAGAAACATATGCTTTGGGATTTAAAGTGGCTATTTTTAAAACTTTGAGTCGTGGTTCTCAGATGTTTTGGTCTCAGAATCCCTTTGACTTGTCACAATTATTCAGGACCCCAAAGGACTTTAGTCTATATTTGTTACATTGATAAATATTTGTAGTACTAGACATTAAAACTTGGAATTGTTCAAATATTTATTCAGTATTTCATTCAAAACTTATAAGAAACATGTTACATTTTAACATAAATAGCATAGTTTTCTGAAGATAAATATATTTCCCAAACTAAAAGAATGCAGAATATCATCATTTTAAATTCTTGCCCATCATTTAATGAATTATATGGAAGCTATCTGGACTCTCAAGTATGTGTTTGCAGTCATTCTGTTGTGATACATGGTTTGGGTTGGAGGATATGAAGACATTCCGTTGGAAAGGGAGAAGTATTTTAATTGCCTTTTCAGATATTTATAGATGGTCTTTGATAAAACTCAACAAGTGATCATTTCTGAA